GAATTTCATTATGCAGGTCTCCAGACAAGCAGAGGGGAAAAGTGCAAAGGAGCCGGTCAGCGTCTGAAATGTGAGAGGGACAGCAGTCTCTGAAGTGTATGGGAATGGAAGGAAACTTAATACTGCTCCAAAGGGGAGAGGGAACATTGCATCATGTGAAAATAATAGCAAGCGGTCAGTAGAGCTTGGGGTTTGGGAAGGCAGGCTTGCCCACTGACCCATTTGCAAAAAGGCTTTGATGCCATTCTGTGCCAATCCAAGGTGAATCTGCACCAGGAGACTGATGTAGAGTACAGGAGGCTGGGTGCTCACAGGGACTGGAGATTGAGCTCAGGTCCTGAGCAACCTGAGAAGACTGCTGGCGGTGGAGCGGGCAGTGTGAATCCGAAACAGAGCTCTGAAAGGAAGCCCCAGAGTTGGGAATTGGAGAGAACCGGTCGAGTAACCAACCAATTAGTCAAAAGTACTCTTTATTGAGCACTTAATATGTCCTGAATACATACTTCACTTATTCCTCACAATAACCCTAGAGATAGAGAGCATAATCCCCATTTTTAGTACAAAGAAACTGAGGGCCAATGAGCTAAGGGACATTTCCAAGGTCACAGAGCTAGTAAGCAGCAGAGCCAGAGTCTGATCCAGATCTGTGCAACTCCAGGTTTCTTGATTCTGAACTCTCAGCTAGCCCTCTCCAAAGCAGAATGGTTGGGAATTGAGTGGAAATGGATTAAAACATAAGCATGGAAACAAGAGAGAAAGGTCTGGATTTTTTCCATGTCAGTGACTTACTTTTCTGGGCTAGAGGAACATGAGTGTGGTTTCCTGTGGACATATGTAACACAAGAATTGGCCACCTTTCCCAAGTAGGTTACTCATAGCCTATCTTCTGTGGGTCTGGGTGAGGATGGAACTGAAGCCACTATTGAGAGCAAATGCAAAAGTTAGCAGGAACCTGGGGAAGAGTGCATGTTGGAGGGGAACAGACTTCCTGTGTCACTGATGAGATCTGCCCTTGGTACTTTCATCATTGATCTATTGCCATAATAAGGCTGCATAACAAACCATCCCAGCATTGAGTGGCTTAAAATCGCAACCATTTGTCGTTTCTCATGCCTTTCAGGGCTGGCTGAACAACTACACTGATCTGAAATGGGCTCATAGGATGTCAGCTGGGTTTGCTCAGGTGTCTGCCCACCAGCTGGAAAATCTGTTGGAAATGGTTGATCTAGGATGGCCTCAGCTAGGATGATGCAGCTCTGCTCCCCATGTTGTCTCATCTCCCAGCAGGCTAGTTCAGTGTTGTTCTCATGGTGAAGGCAGAAGAAAACGAGAGAAAGAAGAGGTGTGCGAGATCTTGGGCTTAGAACTGACATGCCGTCTCTTCTGCCCCATTCTAGCAGCCAAATCAAGTCACAAGACAGCCCAGATTCAAGAGGTAGGGGAAAAGATTCCATCTCTTAATGCCTGACAAAGTCACATTGCAAAGCACTTGAAGAACTGCAGGCATTTTTTTTTTTTTTTGGCAGTCTACCACAGGATTCCATCTCAATCCCAAAAGGAGATGAAAGGCAGCGTCATTTGCCAATATTCTGGGCCATGCCCATTTCCCTGCCAAAAACCCTTTGTCCGCTAAATGTCATTTCTTTTTTTTTAATTTTATTTAAATCCAAGTTAGTTAACGTACAGTATAATAATGGTGTCAGATGCAGAATTTAGTGATTCATCACTTCCATGTAACACCCAGTGCTCATCCCAACAAGTGCCCTCCTTCATGCCCATCACCCATTTAGCCCATCCCCCCACCTGCCTCCCCTCCAGCAACCCTAAGTTGGTTCTCTGTATTTGAGTTTCTTATGGATTGCCTCCCTCTCTGTTTTTCATTAAATGTCATTTCTTTGTCCAATTTTTATGTGTCTTGCTGGCACTAGACTGAGAAAGAAGTGACACAATGACTCTATAGTTGGGCAAATAAAAGAATGCCTTCTTTTTTTAGTAGTAGTAAAATTCAGACTGCTTACCCACTGACTTCATCTCTCATTTCCTAAGAAAGTTGCATTAGGAATTATACTTACACTTTCTCAGTGAACCATCCCAGCCTATCTATATGCGTATGGAAATGCTATCAAATTCCAGGAAACAGAAGTTCATTTAATATGATGAATAATACTGGGGTTTTTTTTTTTTATTGTTTAAATCCAAGTTAGTTAACCTATAGTATAATAATGGTTTAAGGACGGGGGCCTGGGTGGCTCGTTGGTTGAGCATCCTACTTCGGCTCAGGTCATGATCTCACAGTTCGTGAGTTTGAGCCCCGCGTTGGGCTCTGTGCTGACAGCTCAGGGCCTGCAGCCTGCTTTGGATTCTGTGTCTCCCTCTCTCTGCCCCTTCCCTACTTGTGCTCTGTCTGTCTCTATCTCTCAGAAATGAATAAACATTAAAAAAATTTTTTAAATAATGGTTTAAGGAGTAGAATTCAGTGATTCATCACTTCCATAAAACATTCAGTGCTCATCCCAACAAGTGCCCTCCTTAATGCCCATCACCCATTTTGCCCATCTCCTCACCCACCTCCCCTCCAGCAACCTTCAGTTTGTTCTCTACATTTAAGAGTCTCTTATGGCTTCCTGGAGACTACTTTAGATTATAAATATGTAGAGGACAAATATCATTTTCAATGACCTTGCTATATGCTTTACCTAGTACCAGCTTTTTTACTTTGCAAAGTGTATCTTTTTTGTCATTGAAAGTTTTTACAATCTAATTAAGGAGACAGGACTAAAACAAGATAAATTAGAGAAATAACACAGCCAAAGATTTATTAAGCCAAGTGTTTTAGAAATCTTATCTTATTTAATCTTCATAAGGGGCAGATCTAGGATATGAACTCACTGTTATCTGACTATCAAAACTTTTTTTAGCCTAAAATAATTATTTCCCAAACATTTGGCATTCATATTTTTCATATCTGAGTGTCACCTGCACTAATAGTTCTTTGACATTTTTCTTCAAATTGGTCTCAGGTTTTGTTTTGTCTTTTAAGTTTATTTATTTATTTATTTTAGTAATCTCTACACCCAATATGGGGCTTGAACTCACAGCCCCAAGATGAAGAGTTGCATACTCTTCTGACTGAGCCAACTCAGCACACTGGCCCCACTTTTTATCTTAGCATTATTCTAAACTGTAATACCCATGAGTTTCAAGGGTAGGATAGATATCTATTTCTCCTGATTTACATTAAAATAAATATGTAGCTATTAAAATAGAAAAAAATGTTTATCTGTGTGCCATCTAAAATTATATCAAGACTTCAGTGATCATTGTACCACTCGTTGGGAAATAGTACACGTTTTTAGATGAGCAATGATATTAAACATAAGGAAGCTCTAACCATTGCTATAGATTGTCCAAAATGGGAGAAAGTCACTGCTGACTGTGGCTGATTTCACCTCATTCTAATACACCCTCCATGAAATTAACAACAACAACAACAAAGGTAAATGCTACTACCACTGCCACCCCACTGCTAAGACTGCGCTTGTGATCTCAATTGAAGACACTGAGCCAGTAATTTATTTCCTACAATGAGGAAATCATGAGTTCCCCAGAGGTGTGCCTTTGAAATCCCTTATATATTAAATTGTTGGCATCACGTTTGACATTGCTATGCAAAGAGCTGGCTGTAAATGTATTGAAAAGACCAGACTTCACTGGTGCTGAAGTCAAAGGAGCAACATGGTTGTCTGCTCTGATGCCAGACTTCCTGGATTTGAATTCCAGTTCTATCATATATGATTTGTAACCCTGAGCAGGTTACTTACATTCTCTGTATCTTGGTTTCCCCATCTGTAAAATGGGGATTATACAAGTGCCAATGTCACAGGGAAGACATGATTCAAATAAGATGCTGAAAACAAGGAAACAAAATCACTATCTCCAAAAGATAGCTGTATGCTCGGGTTCTTTGCAGCATTATTTACAACAGCCAAGACATGAGGGCACCTGGGGGGCTCAGTTGGCTAAGCATCCAACTTCAGCCCAGGTCATTATCCCGTGGTTCATGAGTTCAAGCCTCGCATCAGGCTCTGCACTGACAATGTGGAGCCTGCTTGAGATTCTCGCTCTCTCTCTCTCTCTCTCTCTCTTTCTGCTGCTACCCCACTTGTGTGTACGCTCTCAAAATAAAGAAATAAACCTAAAAAATATATTTTAAGAAAATAATAGCTAAGACATGGAAACAACTTAAGGGTCCACTGATAGATGAATGGCTAAAGAAAATGTGATATACATATATATATATATATATACACACACACACACACACACACACTCATATGAATATTATTCAACAATAAAACAAAATAAAGAAATCTGCCATTTGTGACAAGATGGGTGGTTGTTGAGGGTATTATGCTAAGCGAAATAAGTCAAAGATAAATACAGTATGATCTCACTTATATGTGGAATCTCAGACACTGAACTCATAGATACAGAGAACAGATTGGTGGTTGCCAGAGGCCAGGGATGGGGGGTTGATGAAATGGGTGAAGGTGGTCAAAAGGTATAAACTTCCAGTTATAAGATAAATAAATCCTGAGGATGTAACTAACATACAGTATGGTGACTATAATTAATACTACATTGTATATTTGAAACTTGTTGAGAGAGTATATCTTAAAAGTTCTCATCACAAGGAAAAAGAAATTGTAACTATGTGAGGTGATCAAACTTATTGTGTCATCATTTCACAATATAGAGAGATTTCAAATAATTACTTTGTATGCCTTGGATTAATGATATCTCAAACTAGAAAGAAAAAAAAAGATGCTGAGAACAATGTCTACAGAGTACCTACCACCAGAGATTTATTTGTCATTATTGGCTTTAGGCCTTGCAGCCTGGAAGACAGTGAGCAAGTTACTTAGTCTCCCTGGGCTTGAATATCATCATTTAAAAAATGGGAGAAATACTACCTGTCAAACCTACAGCACTCACCTTATTGGATCTTTCAACTTCAGACCTCGGATGGGCTTTCCTGCTTCTGAGATCCCCTTGTAACAAAGCCATGGTTCAGGCTGACTCACAAAGATAGGGCACCTGAAAGGGGAGAGAGGGACTCAGTCATTCTTCTACTCTCAGTACATGCTTCTACTACTGATTCAGTACGAATGGTGTCCTTCCATGTGCATGACACATGCTAGCTCAGCTCACTTGCTCTGCTCTCGGGAATTTGGTGGAGGTACACAAGACTCCTTCTTGCTCCCTGCCTACTTGCTACTCTGTCAGCCACCATCTGGAAAGCCCTTTCTAGATTGACCTGCAGCTACTCTGCCCCAAATATGCAGGAAAAACCAAGCTGTGCATGCCTTCCCTGCCTTTGGGGTCTATCCCTCCTGATGTCCCCCTTTCTTTGACCCTGGGCCCCAGATAGTAAGAAACAACTTCTCTGTTGTCCTCAGGGCAAGAGCAGGGAGGGGGATGAGACTCTCAACACAGAGCAATGTGCACTCCGGTTTGGGGACTGGAAAGCAATAATGCACCCAGTCGTCCAAATTAGAAAATTCGATTCAGTCATGCTCGATAGGTCCCCCCACCAAGTCCTGGCAATCCTAATTAACTGATATTTATTCAAAGTAGTACATTTTTCATCATCCCTATTGCTATTACCTTAGTTTTAGTCTCATCCTGAGCCACCCGGAACATGGCAAACATTCCCACCCTGCTCCAGCCTCTTCCTCCATGCCAGAAAAAAACTTGCTAATTACTTAGCCATTTTCCAGTGGTTCCCCAGCTCCTATGGGATAATCAAAACCTTGCACTTATGAACCTTAATAGTTCAGCTGTGGCTTTCCTCCATTCCCATGCCATGCCATTTCCCCCATACACAAGCTTTGCTGCAACCAAATTGAATTTCTCCCCAGGCCACGAACATACCATCTTCTCAACAAGCTCAGCCTTTGAATAGCATCTTAAATGCCACTGCCTCGGGCGCCTGGGTGGCGCAGTCGGTTAAGCGTCCGACTTCAGCCAGGTCATGATCTCGCGGTCTGTGAGTTCGAGCCCCGCTTCGGGCTCTGGGCTGATGGCTCAGAGCCTGGAGCCTGTTTCCAATTCTGTGTCTCCCTCTCTCTCTGCCCCTCCCCCGTTCATGCTCTGTCTCTCTCTGTCCCAAAAATAAATAAACGTTGAAAAAAAAATTTTTTTTTTAAATGTCACTGCCTCTAGGAAGCCTCCCAGCTCTTCCAAGCAGGACTAGCTATTGGGCTTCACAGCACTTTGTACCTATTTCCATCAGCACACATACCATGTTATGGTGTAGTTGTGTGTCTATACAGGCAATCCAGATCTTAGTCCCATAAGGTTCGTTGAATTCCAGTTCTATGCCCTGTGGAAATCTGAAGCCTTTCCTATAGTTTTTGTGAATTCCCAAAGGTCTGTATTTTCCTTGTCCCCCAACTGCAATTCCTGCTTCTATGCATGCTGCCTCTGGTCTGCACAATGTTGACCCCAGTGTGACCAGGGCCACCATGTAAGGCTATATAAATTTTGCCCTGCTCAAGGGCACAAAGCTAAGGGGGAAAGGAGGTCTGAAAAACCAGCCTGTGCCCTACTCACCTTCTATACCCACCCAGAAGGGGCACCTTTCTCCAATTTGCACAAATGTGTAATGAGGGCTGGCAGTGGTCCTGTGCCCTTCCCAAATTTCCAATACAAACCCTTCCTTATAGTGAACATTTGTGATACCAAAGACTACTTAAATGGTGGGTGGGGGGAGAGCAGGGTAAAATGCAGGCAGTGGCATTTCTATTCTTAAAATACTGTTTTAAGTTTCCTCTCCACCAGGGAAATTTTACTGCCATTTCCTATACATAATCCCCAACCTCACACCAACTCATTGGATCCTCTCATCCCTCCCATTTCTGTTCTACTACCCTTCTTTTCCCTTCCCTTCTCTCCTTCTCCCCCACCCCTTCTTCCTCTTCCTTTCCTTCCTCCCCTCTTCCTCCTCTCTCCCCTTCCTCTCCTTCTCCTATCTCTCATTTTCCCAGGAGCAACTTAACCACTTTATTTGTTCTTCATTTTCTGGCCAACACAGACTCTCTCTTTCACCTCAGAAGTTTATCAAGATGTTTTTGCAAACAAATAATGTTCATTCCCTAAAGGATGCCAGTTAACATCTACTGTTAATGCACATTTCAAATTATTACACATATGTCTGTTTCCCCCCATGTCTATTAATTCTTGGAGGGTAGAAGTTGTGTTTCTGGGGTGCCCTTCTTAGATTTAGTCAATATTTAGTAAAGGACTGAAGCCATTTGGAGCTAATTAAGACCAGGCTCAAGTTTTCACTCTGCCACTTATTCACTGAGGACTTTAGACAATTAGCCTAACTCTTAGAGCCTCAGTTCCTTCATCTACAAAAGCATCAGGACTAGCATGAGGGAAGTGAGGCACACAGGGCTCAAAATTTAAGGAGGCGCTCACTTGTAGGTTTGACAAAATTTAAGGAGCCTGAGAGTGAGTGCCTCCTTAAATTTTGTACTTTGGGAAACTTACTTGCTTTGCCCTAGTCCTGACCCAGATTATAAAATAGGGATAATAATGGTATCCATATTGTGAGCCACTAGCATTTTTTTACTGAGTTTTAGTGAGTGTTATAAATGTAGTTCCTATTATCATTTCAAGCTGCTTTATATGAGATTGTTCAGGAGAATTGTTAAATTTAATAGAAGCTATTTGAAAAGTAATGTTTAGAGTTATAATGATTCAAACAGACTTCTAATAATTTTCAACTTGGTGGAAAACAATGTTTTATACACATATTTGTTGTCCTAGGAGTTGGAATATATATGAATACCTCTTCACGTCTTGTCCCGAGTTATTATTACATAGAGTTGTCATGTGAGAAGCAGTTCATTGTTTATCTTGGAATATCTGTCCACAGGAATTTTGGTTAAGCCTCATATTTGACATCATTGTTGGATTTATATGTCCATAGCATCTTAATCCAATGCCTGTCTCTCCCAATTGGCATCATAGATGCCTATATTTGTACCTCAAGTTTCATTGCTCTAAAAGACAAATGCCCATCAAGTTGGGTGTTTCAACTCTCCCAGGTTGGACATGTGCCCCAGATGCCCTTGGAAAAGTGTGCCTCTCCTGGTAAACTGCCATGAAAATTCTCATTGCATGTCTCCTCTTTGGTTTTCAAACAAGATCCCATTCTGACATGTCTGACTCCTCTAATGTTCTCTTTTTTAAAAAATTCTTCCTAACTTGTGATGAGCACTGGATATTATATGTAAGTGATAAGTCACTAAACTCTACTCCTGAAACCAACACTACCCTATATGGTAACTAACTTGAATTTAAATAAAATATTGGAAAAAAAATCTTCCTGACATTAAAACAATGCCTTCAGAGGGCATTAGGTCAGGTATAATGCATACTCAGGTATAATATATATAATCTCTTATATGAACCTCTGGGGAAAAAATTTACGATTATTTTGAAATATACTAAACTCACCCATAAAGTTAGAGCAAGCTTTTAAAACTGTAAATGTCTGGACTCAACTTAGTAAAATCTTCACAAGGAAGTGTCATAGTGCTCCCTCTGGGTAAATATAAAAAAGCTGAGCCACCCCCACCTCCTCCCCCCACTCCCCTCCCCCAGTCAACACATACACCTGAGGCTTCCCATGGTGAAAATTCCATGTCATGTAGCTCATCTGAAGTAAGATCATCCTCAAATAGCCTTTAAACTGGGTGAAACTTCATCCAGCTGTTTTCCCACAATGTGATGTCAAAGAAATGCTCAGGGACTTAAACACATTTATGTAGTGGTGGTTGATGATTGACAGGTGAGAATGTCAGGTGGGCTGAGGGACACCGAACAGCGGCAGGCCGTACTCGGCACATAGCAAGGCTTCCATCGATGCTATTATCTGTTGTGTAGGACATGCAGAGTGCAGAAGGGTACACACTCCGTCATTACGTCTACGAGAAACAAATGAGGAAATACACGTAAAGCAAAAAGACATCCAGAAACTACATGAAAATGTCAACAATAGTTGTGTTTGGACGACCAGGAATTCTTTCCCTTTCTTCTTTTCGATATATTCTCATTTTTCTTTAATGAATTGTATTATGTTTATCATGTTACTAAATTTTGAAAGATAGTTTTGAGCTGGTCTGTTTTGTCTGCTCTCAGCCTTTATAAATCAAATACTCTCAAGACCTCTGAGGTGTTTGTCCTGAGAGAAAGGATGTGAGGGTGACTTCAGGGGAACTGACAGGGAGCCGTCCTCTGGCAATAAAGCTAATTGCTTTTTTACTTTTTCTTTTTGTCTTTTTCTTTTTTGTTTTCCCTTTTCTTTTTCTTCTTCCACCCTCCTTCCCTCCCTAAGTGGAGCTGAATCAATGATTTGCAGCTGGGAGAGCGGCCACAATTATTTCTCTAATTATTTTTTTCTACCAAATATTCCCATTGCCAAAGCTGCCTGTGCAAAATGAAAACACATAAACATTTACAAGCTTGTTGTTATTGCTTTTTAAGCAAAACAAAAATGAATTTATCCTAAAAGCAGCCATACGGTGTGAGTCGACCTATTTTTTTTTTAAGTTCCCTTTTTTACACCAGCAGATTTAGTAGCCAGAAACTGCCGGAGTCTCTTCACAGAATCTGAGCAACATAAAGACATTGACCTCTGTTAAACTCCTGACCAGCCCATCCAGTGAATAAAGTAAACAAAAAGCCCACAACTAAAGCTTGATTTTATGCCCCAGCTGTGGGACAGGATGTGAATTTTTTAAAACAAACAAACCAACAACAAAATGCAACCACTACCACCAACACCCCAGCATAAGGTGTGGCCCCACTCACCCAGAGCAGCACGAGTCCTTCCCCGAATGCTCCTGCACTAAACCCTGCATGAAACATGACTCAGAGCTCTGGGACTGTAAGAGCCCAGCCAGAGTTCACCTGGCATTAATTAAAAGCTCTGACTCAGGTGGTATATATGGAGGGACTTAGCATAAGTCAGTGCAGCAGTTGACGACCTTGAATGCACTGTCCTGATTCTTTGTGGTGAAAGGAGGGAGGGGGTTAAAATGATTGAGCACCCCTACAGCTCAGGCCCCCTCACCTACCTTAGCTCGGTTCATCTCTACAACGACCCTATGAGGTGAGGATTAGTGTTCCCATTTTGCAGGAACAAAATGAGGAAACTGGGGCCTAAAGAAGTAAAGTAACTTGGGGAGTGTCACCCAGTAAGTTCTTGGCAGAGCTAGGAATAAAACCCAGCTCCCCTTCCAGTTGCCCAGTAAGGATGGACTGGGAACTCCATAGTTTGAAGGATGCATCCCAGGAATCTCAAACCTGTTCTTTACCCAAATATTCAAGTACCTCAGCCCGACCCTGTGTCTAAACGGGCTTCTGAGTCGTTTAAAGGAAAGGTGGGGTTCTTTTTTAAATGACATTTTGGCTCATGTTGTGCTGATGACACCATAGCAACCATAACTTCCCATGGAGTCCGTGACCAGGTCTTAGGAGATGAAGAGGGTGATCCCGTCTTGTCTCTGAATCTTGTCACCAGATAGCACAGGAGCCAGGCTCTTCCAGCCTGATCCTAAAGTGGCTACAGCTCCCTCAGCAGGCTTTAGTTTAGCCTGGAAGGTTATGGGGTTAGAAGATAATGGGCAAATATTTTAGGACCAACTCCTCATAAAAGAACAGGAAGGCCTGGGAGAGGATTTCCCCAAATCTTATCTATTCCTGGTTGGACAACAGTCAATCTTCAGGACGGTGACACATCACAGTAAAAGGGCTGATTGCTGTAAACTTGATAAAGTTCTCAACCCAATGTTAAAATCAGGAGAAGATGCTTTTTGAAAAAATGTATGTCATAAGGAGGTCTTTTCAGAATTAACAGTATATTTTAAGGCACTCAAATAATTTGTCTATTCTAAAGCCTCATGTCTTAATCAACTATTACAAAATCTTCCCTCTTCAGAATCTTGGCAGGATTTTGAATTGGGCACTGATTAGTTTGGGGCAAGAGGGGATTGGTAGGCATTCACTTGGGGTAGGGAGAGATTTAGTTCTTTTTGAAAAGAAGGAGCAGAAGTGAAATAGATATAAAAAGGTAACCCTCCTCACCAGGCCTTGGTTCCCACCGCTGAACTGCTGAGTCTATAAGCAGGCTCCTGCTTCATAAGAAAATGACCCCTTAATTTTGGCTCAAATTTCCTTTTAGTCATAATTACCTGTTATTATAATAATCTTATTACCACAATACAAAGCTCTAGAGGATAGGGAAAATATAAAAATCACCACTAATCCTATCACCAGCCCATAACAACATTTCAGGGTTTTTTGTTTTTTTCCCCCCTGCAAGTCTTTTTCCCTCTGTACGAGCTTCATTCATCCATTCAACAAATATTTACTGGAGAACTGCTATGTGTCAGATACTGAGTTCTCCATTGTTATAGCTATTGTGCTAAACACAACCTTTCCCTCATTCTCACTGAATAGTACAAACAGCTTATATTTCTAGCGTCAGAAAAAAAAAAGGCAACATAAAACCCCTCAAAATTAAACTCTATCCTTGAAGCCCAAGGTGATGTCCCAGGAGCACCTTAGGAGATCCTCAATGTGGGAAATGACTGGAGATCTAAACTCTGGTTATTTCCTATTCATTTGTGCAAGGAGAGGGGACCTCAGCTGGTCAGAGAGCCTGGTCTATCACTCATATCCAGGCCCGTCAGCCCCAATTACATGAGACCTTGACTGGAGGACAAATGTCCTCCCAGAAAGGAGCAAGCCTTCCCCTCCACATCTCCTGCACCTTCTCACCTCCACTGACCTGGAGCCTGGGCAATCTGGAGGCCTTGGGCACTTTGTCCCAAAGAGCACAAAACTAGATAATCTAGACAATCTGTTGTGCTCCTTGGGCCCTTGGAACAAACAAGATAGTAGTCCCCAGTTTGCCCATCTTGCCCTCCATGACAGTCAGCCTGGAGCCATACTCCCTCCAGGTCCTTGGCCCCCTGTGCCACCAACGTTGGAACATAAATGCAGAAACCACCAATCTTTCCAGCCAGCACAGGGTGCCTGTGTCTCCAGCCCACCTGGCAGGAACCCAGCACTGTCCTCCCACCCCTCTTGTCGCCCTCTCCCCTCCCCAACTTCACGGTCCTAAACTGCCTCTTCCCGTGTTCATCACATCCCCACACAAAGCTCGGGAGGGAAATTGAGCTGAGAGCACATGGGGAGACAATGGGTCCAGCAGACTTCTTGGAGGCCTCCTCCTAATGCAGAGGGGCTTTCTCAATGTGAAAGGCCCTGAGGAAATAGGGCCTTCATCTCCTTCCCCAAGGGTCACTCACCCCAACTTCCATCATGGTGTTTGTTCTTAGAACAAAAGCAGCATACATGAGGCCAGAAAAAAAAAAATTCATGTGACTATAGATACAGTCAAAATCTCTTGATGATGATTTGTTCCCATTTTAAACATGAGGAAATTTAGGCTCAGAGAGGTTCTGTGACCTGCCCAAGGTCACACAGCTAGTAAGTAGAGAAGGTGGGATTTGGACCCAGGCAATCTCACGGCAGAGCATGAGTCCTAAAAACTGTCCTACATCACCTCCATGCCAGTTACATGGTACCTACTATGTGCCAGGCATTATGCTGGGCCCTTTATACAGGTTTCTTTAGTAACAAAACAACCCTATGAGGAGATTGTATCTAATCACAGTAAGTAATTTTCTGGACTCAAATGGACTCTGCCTACAATCTTTTAAATTCAGTTAAGGCTATCACCTCTGATTTTGTGCCCTTTCTCCTCTGCTTTGATGTGCCACATTACAACGAATGTGAATTTCAGTGTGGAATAGGCCTGCATTCAAATCCCAGCTCCCCCATATAGCAGCTCTATAACCTTGAGGCTCAGTTTCTTCACACATAAAACAGAGGTACATAGAACTTCCCAGTGGGTTGGGGGAAGAGGTAGTTAAGTGAGAGATTACGGGTAAAGCATGATACCTAACATCGGTGTCCAGTAAATGACAATGCTTATTAGTAATAAACAGCAAGTATCAAAACGATGCACGTTCGGGGCTTCCTGGCTTTGCCGCAGAAGCTCCACAAGTCGGCACGTGGTGTATTAGAAAAGAGTTCAGTGATATTTATCCAACGTCCTTATTTACATGAGAAACATGATAAGACAGCTTTGCTCCTTGTCAGCTTCAAGCGTGAGCACCTTGAGTCATACTACCTGTTCATAAAACAAGGATAATAATGTACTTATTCAACTCACCTGAACCATATGCTTCCCCACACTTCTCCATTCTCACTCTTCCTAATATCCACAAGATAAAATGTTACTTTCTCTGTGGAGAAACTCTCAGACACAGAATCCAAAGCAGGTTCCAGGCTCTGAGCTGTCAACAGAGAGCCCCATGTGGGGCTTGAACCCATGGACTGTGAGATCATGACCTGAGCCAAAGTTGGATGCTCAAGTGACTGAGCCACCCAGGCACCCCAGGATATTTGTCATCTAAAAAAAAAAGTGTCAACTTTGGGGTTTGGGCATGGTGGGAACAGTTTCAATCTTGGATGGTGGCAATGAAGAATGCACAATTTTTTTCATTCTATCCAGCCCTACTTTTAACTGAGTTTGGCCTTATAAGTAGCTCCTAACTGTAGTAAAAGGAAAGAATGCTGAGCCTGACGTCAGGAAACCTGCTTTTTATTTTTCTTATTCATTTTTTTAATGTTTATTTATTTTTGAGAGAGAGAGCACAAGTGGAGCAGGAACAGAGAGAGAGAGAGAGAGAGAGAGAGAGAGAGAGAATCCAAAGCAGACTTCGTGCTGTCAACACAGAGCCCGACCTGGGGCTCAAACTCACAAACCATGAGATCATGACCTGAGATGAAATCAAAAGTCACACACTCAGCCAAATGAGCCACCCAGGCACCTAGAAAACCTGCTTTTTAGCTTTACCCTTGTCAAACACTAGCTCTCGAATTCCAAGTGAGTCAACAGATTCCTGGGAATCTCCGTTTTCCTATCTGTAAAAAGGGAGAAAACGCCTAGCTGCTAGTGTTGTGAGGCTTAAAAAAGATAATGGACACAAAAGCACTCTGAAAATCCTGGATAGCCAAAAGACATGAGATGTTATTGTGGACTGTACTGATTAAACTCTAAATTATCATTGATAACCATAATACTAACAGTAAGTTCCAGTTGCATTTAATTTCTGGTAAAAAGCACTTTCCAGAATGACATCCAGCTTTGGTCTGTGGTCATATAGTTTACTGGTAAATACTTGTGTATGGGTAGCAAGTGACATCCCAGATGTGTCTATGCCAACAGTAATGCAAGACAGCAATCGTTCCGATGTCTGATTCCTCCTCTCTGAAAGATGTCCCATTGTAAGTAATGGCACACATTTGGTATATTTGGAGAGTGGCAAGTGGCCATTGTGGCTAGAGGAGAGTGAGCCAGGGAGATGGCGGGAGGGAATGAGTTCAAAGAAGCAGTAATAGACAAGGGTTTGTGGCATCATGGAAGGGGAAAGCCACCCAGAGGGCTGTGAGCAGAGCATGATGTGATCCAGCTTGGGTCTAACTGAATTAGTCCTTGTGGAAACAGGGAGGCCATGAGAAGAACATAATCTCTACAAGAGGCATGGTGGCTTGGAGTAGGGAGCTAGTGGTAGAGATGGTGAGAAGTGACAGGAGTCTGAATAGAAGAAATGATGTGTAGGAGAGAATGATGTCAAGGATGAACCCAGATTTTGGCCTGAGCCACTGGAAAGAAGACAGTGGAGCAGGTCATGGGGAGACCAAGAGTTCTGCTTTTAAAAATATTTGCAAGCATTATACTTTTGAGTTTTACTAAAAAAATTTCCCATATATGATTTAAAAAAAAATAGGGGCTCCTGGGTGGCTCAGTCGGTTAAGCTGCCGACTTTGGCTCAGGTCATGATCTCGTGGTCCGTGAGTTCGAGCCCCGCGTTGGGCTCTGTGCTGACAAGCTCGGAGCTTGGAGCCTGTTTCGGATTCTGTGTCTCCCTCTCTCTCTGACCCTCCCCTGTTCATGCTCTGTCTCTCTCTGTCTCAAAAATAAAACATTAAAAAAATAAAAATAAAAATAAATTTTTTTAAAATAAAAAATAAAGGGACCACATACACATAACCTGCATTATACTTTTCAAAACAATTTCTCATCCACAACCTCATTTGGTCCTTGTGAAAAGCAGTCTTGTGAAATTGCTGCTACTATCCCTACTGTATCAGTGAGATTTCAAGCAGAGACGTGGGATCAGAGACAGAAAATAAGGGATTTGTTCGAGAATTAAGACCTTCTGCAAGTGTATGAACTGCCGGAGAAGTGTGTTGGGTGTTGTGCCTACTGTTGACACAGGTCAGTGGACTGCAAGTTGGGAAGGAAAGCTAGATGTGAAGTGATACGAGCAAGAACAAACCGGAACCCACATGAAAAATCTGGACCTCATATAGATTGACTGGAACCCTTGTCTGTCTTCTGCCACCTCCAATCTCAGTGTCATGGATGAGCTGTAGGAGAAGCTGTGACCTTTGCACCCAACTACACATACTCTGGCCAGGACTTGACAAAGCTAGGATCGAGGATCTAGGAGGATCTAGGAGGAGCTAGAGGCCCTGTGGGCCCACCTCTGTCAACTAGCTGAGTTAGTAGATCAGCAGCAAAGTGCATGTGCTGCCACAGTGCCTGCCACAGCTTGAACATTGCCCTCTTGCAATGTTGGTGGGAATGCAAACTGGTGCAGCCACTCTGGAAAACAGTGTGGAGGTTCCTCAAAAAATTAAAAATAGACCTACCCTATGACCCAGCAATAGCACTGCTAGGAATTTCCCATGGGATACAGGAGTACTGATGCATAGGGGCACTTGTACCCCAATGTTTACAGCAGCACTCTCAACAATAGCCAAATTATGGAAAGAGCCTAAATGTCCAGCAACTGATGAATGGATAAAGAAATTGTGGTTTATATACACAATGGAGTACTATGTGGCAATGAAAAAGAATGAAATATGGCCCTTTGTAGCAACGTGGATGGAACTGGAGAGTGTGATGCTAAGTGAAATAAGCCATACAGAGAAAGACAGATACCATATGTTTTCACTCTTATGCGGATCCTGAGAAACTTAACAGAAACCCATGGGGGAGGGGAAGGAAAAAAAAAAAAAGAGGTTAGAGTGGGAGAGAGCCAAAGTATAAGAGACTGTTGAGAACTGAGAGCAAACTGAGGGTTGATGGGGGGTGGGAGGGAGGAGAGGGTGGGTGATGGGTATTGAGGAGGGCACCTTTTGGGATGAGCACTGGGTGTTGTATGGAAACCAATTTGACAATAAATTTCATACATAAAAAAAAAACTGAGAACAAACTGAGGGCTGATGGGGGATGGGAGGGACGAGAAGGTGGGTGATGGGTATTGAGGAGGGCACCTTTTGGGATGAGCACTCGCTGTTGTATGGAAACCAATTTGACAATAAACTTCATATATTGAAAAAAAAAAAAAAGAGAAGGGTTCCTGTTTCACTCCCACCTTTCAAATCTAGCAAAATGTGCCTTGGAGCCAACTTGAAATGGAATCCACCAGCTTATGAGTTGCTAGAAAGACTCATAGCTTTGAATACCCAAGTGGACAATTTGTTAAATAAAGGGAAAGAAATTCTGGGAACCAGGATCCCAGCTTAGCTAAGTTGACATGGTATAAAACCACCACACTTACTTTACAAGTGAAGAAAATTACCACCCAGAGAAGTCAACCAACTTGCCCATTGCCTTGCAGAACATTGGTAGCATTTTATCAGGTCCCAGGTTTGCTGACCTCTTGCCAACTGACTTTAGTTTATATTCTTTGAATGCTTGCTATGTGGCAGACACTGAATCATCACATCCTATGCTCGCCACAAGTCTATAGAATAGGTATTATTATGCCCGTTTATAGATGAACATGCTGAGGCTCAAACAGAAGTCAATGAACCAATGTAACATGGCTATGGAAAGGGAAAGCTGAGACTCAAACACAGGCTGGTCAGACCTCAAGCCTCACACTCTTAGCCTCCCTCTGGGCGTGTGGTCTTTCCTGCCACTAACTCCATGCCTGCCCTCTTTCCCAGGGTGGAGTATCCGAACATGGCTCACACTAAGAGAAATCCTGACACCCCAGTTTCTCCTCTGTAGTCTGTGGTGCTGGTCTGCGGCCAGTTCCCTGCCACTCCAGGGACAGTGTAAACCCACGGTGGGAAGTGCTCTGGTTTGTGCAATTAGGAGGTGCACCGAAGGAAACATGTACTCCAAACACAATGGGCCAAAAGCACCAGAACACAGCTCGGACCTGGAAGAAGCCCGTCTGCTCTTGGCCACAGTAACCAGAAGCCTAAAAATCAAGCAAATGTTCCCTCAATGCTGAGAAATTTCCCATGATTCCAGAGAGGCCAGGAAATAGAGCTGGGTGGGGGTAGGGGAAGGCCTAATGAATGCTTTAGTAATGAAACTTAAGATCTGTGGCTTTGGAGTTAGCAAATAACTCTATATTCATTTAATTCTCTTGATGATGACCCTAATAATATTAATAACATCCATTATTATTCATTGCACTTGACTGTTTATTTTGTGCCAGGCTCTCTTCTAAGCATTTCACATTAATTAACCCAGTTATCCCACACAGTAAGCATTTAGAGTAGAGAGTATTATTGTCACCATTTTACAAATGGGGATGCTGAGGCACAGAAAGTTTAAATAACTAGCCCACAATTATAGGAGCCCAGGGAGTCTGCCTCCAGAGCATAACCTCTCAACCTTTACCCTAATCTGTCCCTCAACAACCCTGTGACAGAGGGAGACAGAAAGGGAGAGTGGCAGGACTATGGTTCCCATTTTGCAGATGAGGAAACTGAAGCTTGGGATGGTTGAATAAGACATCTAAAGCCTTCCTGGCAAGCCAGGTTTGAAGCCAGAGCTGTTGGACTACAAAGCCCATGCTCTTTCCACTCTGCCACTCAGCCCTGTTAAGTGAGTGGCACATTCAGGACTTGAAACCAAGTCTAACACAAGCCCAACCGCAGTTGCTTATGATTTGCTAGAAAGACTCATAGCTTTGAATACCCAAGTGGACAATTTGTTAAATAAAGTCAGCCTAGAGGCCCAAAGATATCTGCCTGGTGAGTGAAAGGGTGCTCTCACACTTTCAGCCAGGAAAGTACCAACACTGACTTCCCCAC